GGCCCCCCAGCCCTGGGCCCGGGGGGGGGAAAACCAAGGGGGGGGGGTGTTGAGAAAAAAAAAAAATCTGACTTCAGGTTCAAAGAGGCCTGGGAGGGACTGGGGGGGAAGGGGGCAGGACAATGGCCTTGGCTGGACAATCCCGGTCCCCAGAGGGGGCAGCGCTAACCCTAAACAAGTGCTCAACCCTTGAATGGGCCTGGATGGCTCCCCTGGGGACAGCTTCCTGCCCCCCAACCCCCAGCCCCAATCCCCTCAGAGGGGGCTCTGGGTGGCTAAAAGCAACTCCAGCAAACCCCCTTCCCAATCCCCTCAAAGCCTGAGCCTCAGACAGGCACTGAAGGCCCCCCACTGGGGGCGAGGTATCCCTTTACCCTTCCTAGGGGGACTCAGGTCCAGCCTCGTAATCCCCTCCCCCAGGCCACGGATGTGCTCTGTCTAGGGGGGCTGGCTGGAGGGAAGGAGCCCCAAAGTAGAGAGTGACTGTGTGTAGGGGTTGTGCGAGGAGGGCAGCCAGAGCTGTCCTGAGAGCTGGCACTGCTGGCCTGCGCCTCCACCCTGTTTGCAAGAGAATGGCCTTCCAGTGCCTGTCTGCCGGGGAGAGTATTTGCCCCCTAACGTGCCCCAAAGCAGGCCCTGGGGAAAATCGGGGGTCTTTAGAAAGGCTCTGGCCACAGCTCCCCGAGGCCTTGAAGCCCAGAATCCCCATGAGGGATGCGGACTTCTGCAGGTCGCTGGCTCCAGGCTCCGCCCTGGCTGGGGCTGTTTGCTGTCGCCTTCTGAGGGTCCCTGTGTCCTGTGGGTGCGACCCGGACTGGCCAGCTGCAGTCACCTTGCCGGGATCTGCGAGTCCTTCGAGCATCCAAGCTGTGGCCCTGCACGGTCGCGTCTCCCACCTGCGCAGACTTTGGGGCGCCTAACTGCTCGCACGCATTTCCGGATCTCCGCAGGCGCGTTAGATCAGAGTAGTGGGGTTAGTTAGGGCTGTGTCCACCGTCAGCCGCGAGCCGCCCCAAAGCAGGTAGATTAAGGGGCCTGAGGGGGGCCGGGGGACATGCTTTGGAACGGGACAGGCCCCTCCCCAGCCATCTCCTCAGCCCGCAGGATAGAGCCATCAGGGCCCCTTTGTCATGCATCGATCTGCTGTCTGCCGAGGACAGGGCCTCCCGAGGGGGGGGGATGGGCAGGCCCCGGACGGGCGAAGCCCCCACACCCCGGCTCCTCAGCTCCCCTCCAGGGGCCTGAAACCTTCCTCCCAGCCAGCACAGGGAGCTCCTGCTGCCTGTTTCCTGGCATTGCCCGACCCGGATCTTCCCACGGGGTGCCACTCTGGTTTTAGATACCATGTACAGTTGCCCTAGGGGTGTGATTCTGGCCTGAGAAGACCCATCTCAGAGAGGGTCCCAGAGGAGGGATGTGTGCCCAGGTCCCTGGCCGCCTTGTGGCCGCACAGCTGAGTCGGCTGGGCCTGTGCTAAGCCGGCGTCTCACCAGGAACCTTCAAGTCTAGTTAAATTTGTCTGGAGTCTTAGCCGGCCCCCTCCTGGGGAGCCCGGGGGCTGAAGGGAGACTGGGACTGGCTCCCCTCCCCTTCCTGGGCTCCTGCACGCCCAAGGAGGCGGTTTCCCTTCTGGTTGCACTTGCAAGGCAGGCTGCCCCGGGCCCCTGTGGGCACAGAGGGGAGTGGAAGGCCGGCTGAGGCTTCAGACCTGACTCCTCCATTAGGTCTCAGCGTCACCAGAGCACCCGGGCCGGGAAGCCAGTTTACAGTTGCGCTCACATGCTGTCCACGGACTTCATTTCTGCGCTGCAGGGAGGCACGTGGGGACCACTGCTCGCCTGGTGTGGCAGGCACGCAGGGCTGTGAGAAGGTGACAGCCACCGTGCTGGGGGACCCGGGCGCTTTCCTTGGAAAACCATTAGAAAAGACTCAGACGGGACCGAGAGAACTTTGCTTTCCTTGGGGCTAGGAAACCACTTCTTTTGACTTCTGGG